TGGTGAATAGGAAAAAAACGATGAATGCGTGTTTATAGGCGTTGAAGAGCGCCAATGTGGAGGGGATAATGATGGACGTTTAGGTAGGTTGGTGGACAGGGAGGTGCCGAACGAATACGACACCCCGCCTATACAACTCGAGGAAGAGATGGCCAAGAAACACGGCTAAAAGTTCAGGCGGTGATGTCGTTCCACTAGTGTGGCGGCAACGTCCGCAATTCTTGCGCGTAAGTACATTGAAATTTTAAGGTTATAAAAGTAGGGTTTGGAGGCTGGTGGGTCGTGCTGTAGGAGGTAGGATGTGGTAGAAGATAAAAGATTTAAAGGTTTGAAATTGTGGGTGGTGCAAATAAAAGATTTTCGTTTAATTTGAAAAAAATAAAAAGTTTAGGATCACAACTGCAATTATTCCTCTTGAACTTTGACATTTTTTACTGTTTTTAACGGTCAAACTGAAGGAATTGGATGGCAAGGAGTTTTTCACACAAAATATTTCAATTAGGGAGTTTTCTGCGATTTTCAATCGGTATAAGGTATATTGCAAATGGAAACGTTTCTAAGAGGTTTTCTACTATTAATCATTTTTCAATTATAAGAGTTAAATAAATTAAAAAGGCAATGGCTCTATTAAAAAAAAGGGGAAAATCATGGTGTAAATTATTTATCAAATCAAATCAATTTCTTTTTTTTTTTTTTCCTTTTTCATTTTCAATCAAATTTATGTGATCTTTTATTTAATTTCACTACATCGGCACAATAAAATACTATAAAAATATTAAACAACTCACTTTATGACAATAAAAATCAAATGTACTCCAATTTAATCGTTAATAAGTGTTTTGTCTCTATATACTGATTAATTTGAAAAATTAACTTAATTTTGCCAATTTTTGTAATATATAATTTATTTATTTATTACAATCGGTTCGAATTTTGGTAGCATCAGATAAAGCAAAACAAAAATGCAAATTTTATAGATCATATTAGAATATTTGAAAAGGTTATAACTAACATTATTTTTCAATATAAATGGGTAAGGTAAAACAAAAGTGGATATACTTGAAAGGGTTGAGTAAAAGAAGCTATACTTGACGTTGATTGAGTGGAGCAAAAAATGAATAAATATATTAGAGAAATGGAATGTTACTTGACCATATGGTCGAGAAAGCAAGTACTCTTCTACTCGACCTCAGTTGAAAATGCAAAAAAAAAAAATGGCCGAAGTTGTTTATGGTTAGTAGTCGAGCTCTACGGGGGAGGGGTCGTGGTCTAGTACCAGAAAAGGTCGTGCGTCTGTTCAATTGACTAATTTCATTCTTTTAAAATGGTATAAATTTTGTTTTTGCTACTGGAAAACAAAAAGGAGAGCTATAAAATTGAAAATATAACAAAAAGCATTGCAAATGGAAATGCCCTCTTTCAAAGTTCTATGAATACTATTCATTTATTTATTAAATGATTATCCATGAGTTAAATCCACAAATGACCATCCAACTTTATACTTAGTATCATCATTGACACCAAATTTGATTTTGTTTCACAGTGGCTATCCAATTTTGTAATTAGTGTCACCATGACCATCCAATATGATTTTATTTCGTCAAAGCTATCCAATTTCATATAATATTTCACCATGGCCCACCAATTTTATATAACATTTCATCAAGGCCATCCAACTTCTTTTCACAATTTTCACTAATTTTAAGAAAGACAAAATTATAACTTTGCATTATATATAAAATAAAAACTTCTTTTAAAAAAGCATTTTTAATTTTTTTTTTTAAAAATAAAAATAAAAATTTATTTTTAAAAAAATTACTTAGAAATAAAAAATAAAATAAAAACTTATTTTAAAATAAACGTTTTTAAAAGGAAAAAAAAAAACTTTTATTTTTGTTTCTTTTTCAAATTTATTATATATATAGTACAAAGTTATTGTTTTACCCCTTTTAAAATTAATGAAAATGGTGAAAAAAGTTGGGTGACCATAATAAATTTTTTTATAAAATTGAGTGACTATGGTGAAACGTTAAATGAAATTGGGTGGCTATAGTGAAATAAAATCAAATTTGATGGCTACAACAATACTAAGTATAAAGTTGGGTGGTCATAGTAAAACAAAATCAAATTGGATGACCATGGTGATACTAAGTATAAAGTTAAGTGACTATTGGTGGATTTAACCCGATTATCCATTGTAGATCATCAAAGAAATTCAAAAAACAATAGTGAATAGAAATTTTCTTTTGGCTTTAAATTAATTGTAAGTTACATTTTTGTATTTTAGTTAAATAGTAGGGAAAAAAAATTAACCCAATTTTAAAAATAATTAAATTACACTCTCAAAACTTTAATACATGAATAATCATTTTAGTTCTCAGTTATATTTGTACAAAAAAAAAAAATAAAAAAAATTCACTATCTTTAAAAGGGGTAAATTAAGCCCTTGTTTGGTCTCATTATAATTTAATACATTTTTTTTCTCTCCTCATTTTAATAACGTATTCTTTAATAAAATAATATTATACGTAAACTCCAAAATTTTCCTTCATTTTCAATTATACATTCTTCAAAAAATTACTTCAAAATATAATATCTCCAAAAACTCATTATAATGGATCCCAAACAGGGGCTAAGACTCCTTCACTGAGTTGATTTATTCACCTGAGCAATAATTATTTCAGCATGTTATTGTCTAATCAAGTTATTTTTAAAAAAATTTCATAAATAAAAAATTAATTAATTTTTAAGTCTTTCTTGCTTTATTACTTAGAGCCTGTTTGAACTTCATTATACTTTGAGAATGCATTTTGGAATAGCAAATTAATGGAAAATGTGTGGTTAAAAAATAAGAAATAAAATTTGAGTTTGCGTGTAATATTAATTTATTGAAGAATGTGTTATTGAAAAGAATAGAGAAAAAAATATATTTTTGAATTGATGAGAATCAAAAAAGGATTTATTAGTAAATTTACTTAGAACATCTTTAAGAGTCTATCTATTTTTAAAGAACATATTATATCATTTGGAGAGCATCTATAAATTTAGAGGGTTAAAATTTTGAAATGCCCCAACAAGCTCTTTATATTTAACACTTAATTTTACTACTCCCCAAAAATATTTATTATTTTTCTTTTATCTTTTATTTTAACTAGTTTTTCTTTATATCATTTTATTATTTTTCAACATTGAAAATTGAAACACTTTGAATACATTTAATTATAGAGAGTGAGTGTGACTCTTCAAATTTGGAGAGTCAAATTCACTCTCTAAATTAAAATGTTAATTTAAAGAGTCTTTTAGAGTATGATTTTAAAGGTTGATTATTTAAAATAGAGAGTATCTCATGTTTAAAGAACCTCTTGGAGATGCTTTTACAAATTAGCCTTTTAAGCTTAAGCAATACTTGTTCTTAACAAAAAAATTCAAACGAAAATCAGGATTGAATACTCAACATTTCACATGGTGTGGTTATGAATCCTCCACCTTAAAAGTGAAGTTTCAAGTCCCCAACCTATTTCAATCAATGAATTAGGACCAAAACTATCAATGTGGATGGATAAATCGAAGGCGACTTTCATGTAACGTGGGGCTTCTTGACTGGTGCTGAGCTAACTATAGTGTAAAGTCGTATTTCTTTGGTTAATAAGATTGGAGAGCAAAAATGTCAAATTACTTAACATTTCCTTACGATTTTTTAACTAAAAGCCTCAGCAGATCTCGTATATCTTGTTACGGTCCCACCCTAGCTGCTTGCCCACTTATTTCCCTCGTGTTCAAAGGCTCAATCCTAATCTTAACCCACAAGTTTAAGAAAAGTGTTTAATTCATTCTTAATTTTATATTATCAATTTGTCTTAAGACTTATAATAGACAATGCAAACTACAAAACCATCCATATTTAGCTAATTCCATTCAGTGCACAGACAAATAGGTATTGAATAATTAGTAAGTGACAAACAAAAAGATTCAATGATCGGCTAAAATTGGTGCATTGGATAGCAAAATTACATAGAATGATACAATACATAAATAAAAGTTATACAAAGGAGTAGGTTTGGAATTTTTGTGGTTCTATGTTCCTTAACGTCCTAGTACGTGGAAAGTTGGGTGTCTTGCGAAATTCTCGAGTCGGCCGGTCTAGTTTGTGCAGAAAAACTCGAAGCCAAGTGTAGACGGACAGAAGGAAAGTGCAACTCACCTCTTTAAATGGATCGATTCACAAACCTGGGGGTCAACTCACCACTAACCTAATACACACGAAAGCAAATTGAAGCCTAGTGATTTTTCTAATGTTGGAGTACACGAATGCCGAGAAATTATTCCCTTTTTCTTGATTGGGTGAATCGTGACATATTTTATTACAAGTTGGGCTGTCCTTGTTTATATGAAATCAATGTAGGACCAAAGGAAAAAAAAAATAACTATAAACTCTTGTGATGATGGAATAGGCATTATACACACATTCTTGATCCTATGGGCATAATTATATGGTAATATCCCATTTAATTTGAAAAATATAGTTAGACATTCGACCGTACATGTCATCTAGAGGTACTAAAGTTCATTTCATGGAAAGAAATTTATCAATTGAGTGCTATTAGACAATCAAATGTATGCTAAGAAGTCACTCCATTACACTATCGTCAAGACACGTTGAAATTTGGAAACACAATCCAAATGAAGATATCGATAAGTCAAAACACTTATCCAATCATTTATTGAAAGTAAAGGGTAAGGAAATTTCAAACCTAAACTGAATTCACGTTCATTTCTAACCACAAAAAGTTAAAAAATCTATAACCAGGCCACGATCAAGAAATATACAAACTAAACATGTCTTTTGTTTTAAATTTTATCTTCAACAAGTTCCTTGCATACATATTATGATTGTTCTATTTAGAAGTTTCTTGAACCGGCTCATTTCGAAACTAAATGGTTAGAAATGAGACAAATATACCTTGCTAGCACAATCCTCCAACTTATAATTGACTTGTAATTTATTTTTCTCCATGTAAAGCCGCCATAGCCACCACTCCAAGCTTTTGAAGATTCAGCTTTACAACTGTATCAGTAAACAATTTGGTATCTTCTTCTGTATTCCCCTCCGGTATATCAACTATATAAGACTCCAAAACAATGGTGTAAATCTTGTTTTCTTCATCAATAAATTCATTAACAGATGTAACAGATCGATAATTGTTTAATCTGTGCTCTCCTCCAACAACCCTAAAGCTTAAAATGAGTTTTTCTTCATCCAAAATCTCTAGCCTTTCGGTGCTGGTCGACGCCGGCAGCCCAGATACTACG